GCGCAGGGCTCAGGAGTGTGTGTTCCATGGTGCGCAGGGCTCAGGAGTGTGTGTTGCATGGTGCGCAGGCCTCAGAAGTGTGTGTTGCATGGTGCGCAGGCCTCAGGATTGTGTGTTGCATGGTGCGCAGGGCTCAGAAGTGTGTGTTGCATGGTGCGCAGGGCTCAGGAGTGTGTGTTCCATGGTGCGCAGGGCTCAGGAGTGTGTGTTGCATGGTGCGCAGGCCTCAGAAGTGTGTGTTGCATGGTGCGCAGGCCTCAGGAGTGTGTGTTGCATGGTGCGCAGGGCTCAGAAGTGTGTGTTGCATGGTGCGCAGGGCTCAGGAGTGTGTGTTCCATGGTGCGCAGGGCTCAGGAGTGTGTGTTGCATGGTGCGCAGGCCTCAGAAGTGTGTGTTGCATGGTGCGCAGGCCTCAGGAGTGTGTGTTGCATGGTGCGCAGGCCTCAGAAGTGTGTGTTGCATGGTGCGCAGGGCTCAGGAGTGTGTGTTGCATGGTGTGCAGGACTCAGGAGTGTGTGTTTGCATGGTGCGCAGGCCTCAGAAGTGTGTGTTGCATGGTGCGCAGGGCTCAGGAGTGTGTGTTGCATGGTGTGCAGGACTCAGGAGTGTGTGTCATAAGGGGCACAGGAGTGTGTGCCATAAAGGGTACAGGACTCAGGAGTGCATGTAACACAGGGAGCACATGTGTGTTGCACAGAAAGTAAGGCTCGTGTGTGTGTCACACAGGGTGCAGGAGTGTCTGTTGCATAGGGTGCAGGGCTCAGGAATGTGTGTTGCACAGAATGCAGGGCATAAGAATATGTTGCACAGGGTTCAGGACTGTGTGCCACACAGGGTGCAGAGTTCAGGAGTGCATATCATGCAGTGGTCAGGAGTGTGTGTCACACAGGGTGCAGGGATCAGGATTGCATATCATGCAGTGCTCAGGAGTGTGTTACATAGGGTACAATGCTCAGGACTTTGTATCATGCAGTGCTCAGAAGTGTGTGTTGCATAGGGTACAGGGCTCAGGAGTCTGTGGCGCATAGGGTTCAGGTGTGTGCGTCACACATGGTGCACTGATCAGAAGTGCGTATCATGCAGTGCTCAGGAGTGTGTGTCTCACAGCGTGCAGGGTTCAAGAATGTGTGTTGCACAGGATGCAGGGATCAGGAGTGCGTATCATGCTGTGCTCAGAAGTGTGTGTAGCAGAGGGTGCAAGGATCAGGAGTGCATATCATGCAGTGCTCAGGAGTGTGTGTTGCACAGGGTGCAGGGATCAGGAGTGCGTATCTTGCAGTGCTCAGGAGTGTGTGTTGCACAGGGTGCAGGGATCAGGAGTGCGTATCATGCAGTGCTCAGGAATGTGTGTAGCATAGGGTGCAGGCATTAGGAGTGCGTATCATGCAGTGCACAGGAGTGTGTGTTGCACAGGGTGCAGGGATCAGGAGTGGGTGTCGCACAGAGTACAGGTATAGGTAACACACAGGTCAACGTACAATCAAAAATTACCGCCAAATCCTAAATTTACAGTGCTCTTTCCCCAAGTCCTCCCCCGTACCAGTGTGGGCAGTATCTTGGGCTCCCAGTTCAGGACAATCTTGATCAGCAGAGAAAGGCTATGGCCCATAAGGGCTGTGCCAGATGATGGGGGAAGAGGCGGCGTGCTCATGGACTGTCAGAACTCAATGAGTAGGTAGAACAAGGGAAAAAAGGTATTTATAATGTTTTTATATCTATACACAAATGCTTTGCCTTTAATTTATATTTTACATTGAATAGGTTGTTTAACAAGGTGAGGGTTTTCATATACTTTAAGAATAACTATTCAGAGATTGTAGTATTTCACTCAGGCCAAAAGATCCCTGATGTCTCAATATAGAGCAGTCTTTCTCAAACTTTTTTCACTCAAGACACCCTTAACCTCCCTGGCGGTATGATTATTTCAGATTTTTGGTGCTGAAAGCGGTACCATTTTTTTGCATGGAAATATGTAGTTTTTTTTATTGTAGGCCTGTAATTTAGGAATAACTCCCTGAAATCTGTCCAAACAAGAGTCTAGTAAACATTCCAGATATGATAAAACTTGAAACACGAAATCATAAATTATAATTTAATAAATACTCATAAAAAATAATATAATAATAATAAATTTAATTCAATAATATAATCAAACCAAAAACACTGAAATTTGAAATATAGCGCCAAGTTCGCACATCACTGAGCAAAGTCGCAAAATCGTTTTCAGTGTCTGATGACGAATTTCCCCACGAATCATTATCACTCAATTCTGCAAGTAGTTCTGATTTACTATCTCTGTTCTCTAGCCGGTCTAAAACCGATTTTGACCTAAAGGGACGCTTTTTGGACGCCGTGGACTTTTCTAAGTTTCCAGGCAGAAAGAACAGTCAAAATGCAGGCAGGGCACAGGACAAAGCAGTAGGGACAAAATGTATGTGAAATGCTTTGATACAGGAATGTTTTGCTATGAAATAATCGTTTTTAAAAAAGTCATTTTTTTTAACTTTTCAAATTTGCTGCCGGTTCTGGTACGTCCCGACGTCACAGGGACAGGAACACTGAAGCCGGATGCCGGCATCGGCCGGAGGAGATGGCCGGGGATGCTGCAGGGGACACATCGTGGGAGCGAAGGACAAGGTAAGCGCTGTAGGGAATCCCTGTGCAACGCCGCATGGTAAGCCCGAGTGTAGCTCGGGGTTACCGCTTTTGGTACTGAAACTTTACCCCGTGCTACACTTGGGAACACCGCTAGGGAGGTTAAAAATGATGAACAGTTCCCGAGCCACCCTCTAAAATTATGACCATTCTAAAATGTAAAAAACTATTCTAACAGCTTTATATAACACAGCAACATCCACAAACATAGGGCACCCAACCTTAGAGGTGATTTATTCTTCCAAAGCGAATACACTTTTGCACACTGGTACTGACTAGTATTCCTATGTTTCTCCTCTCCCTCAATTGATGTGACCCCAGCACTGATGGAGAGGGGCATGGGAGGGTCAAACAAGGATGCTCTGCAGGCAACCGACATCCTCCTTATCAACTGATGATGTCATGGGTTGTCAGGACGCCGGCGGCTAGATGGTTGTAATGGTGCACAATGAAAACCTGTGGCTTTGTGTAACTAAAAGGCAGGCTTGTTCCTCCAGCTGGCTTATATACAAGTTTTGGGCAATTTTTAGACATTTTGGCAAGGCACCCCTGAAGAAACATCAAGGCACCCTGGTTGAAAAAGGCTGATAACCTGTCACGGCAAAATATTTTCACATAGGGCACTCTTGGTTCCCTATGTGATAAGAAATAAAGTTTAGTGAAGAAAAGTGTTCGGTGATTTTCCATCTGCATGCTGTGCACACTTTTTTGTCTTCCATTTCCTGGTTTCCCTGAAGGCCGTGGTGAAATCTCTTATTTAAACCGCAGGATCTCTAAGTATTGTCATACGGCACATGTACAAAATGAGGCACATCTTTCACAAGCACCATACAAATTTACAATCATTTGCTGTTAAAAAAAAAAAAAGAAACACCTCCCTGAGAAGTCACAAGATTCCCCTGAAGGCAATGATGAATGGCAGTGGTGCCAGCCTTCCCAGGGGCATCTGTGTGGCCGGAACTATGTCACCATTGCCTTCATGGAAACCAGTGGTAGACAAAAAAAGGTAAGTAAAGCAAAAAAACATTTTTGGAAAGGTGTTAGACAACTGCACATGTGCAGGCAGAGATGCATGCTGATATGAATTTTAACCCCTTCACGCCTAAGGGTAAAACAAATCTAAATGCCTAAGCACAATTTTGCAACGTTGACATGTGTTAGTAAAACTGTACATATCATCACAACTACTTTGTACATCCAGGTGAATTATACCACATTTTTTTCAGGACAAATTGGGCTTTCATTTGGTGGTAAATGGCAATGGATATCTCCTGATATTTTTTTTATTATTAAAGGAAAATTGGCCCAAATTAGTAAAAAAAAAAATATTTTTTTTTATTTAGCTGTGTGTTTTTTGTTACTACCATAACCTATCACCAAAGAACAACCCAAAATAAATTCTCCAGCTCTTGATGATCACAGCAATACCATATATGTGTATGTTATTTGTTGTTTTTGTACCCGTAGTACAGCCCAGAAACAATAGTGCGCATTTTGTTTTTGTCTTTTTTTTTTTTTTTTACCTAAAACACACTGACACTGACACTAACTGACACTGATGCCAATTTTTTTTAATCCTGACCTTTGACTCTGACCTTGACCCAAACAATAACCCTAGCACTGAACTAGATCAAACCTTGATCTAGGTATTTTTTGTTTATTTTTTATTTTATTTTTTTAACATTTATTTATCTTTTTTTTTTACAAACATTTTTTTCTCTCTACACCAGGAGGTAGAGATATACAATGTATCTTTGTTCTGCATTCCTAGAGAGAAAAAAAAATTCTGTGAATGAGTGCCTACAAGTCCCGACAGCCTTAGCCTTAGTTCATTGATGCTTCCTGTCAGTATATCTGATTGGCCATACATCCCGTACAGCAAGCAGATACTCTGACAGGTCTGCAGGTGACCTGCATTGCATCAGCAATCTACTGATCTCTGGTGCAATGCTTTCCAGGCTCTTTTGGACAAAAATAATAAATGCACATTTTTTTACCTGCATTTATTATTTTTGTCCAAAAGGTGAACTTATCCTTTAAAGTGATTCTAAAGGCTTATTGTTTTCATAGAAAAAATAACAAACATGTCTATACTTACCTGCTGTGTGCAACGGTTTTGCACACCGAAGCCTGGATCCTCCTCTTCTCAGGTCCTCCGCTGGCACAACCGGCCCCTCCCTCCTGTCGGGTACCACCACAGCAAGCAGCTTGCTATGGGGGCACCCGCTGTTCCGTGTTTTCATTCACAGACGGAGCTGTGGCTTGGCCCCATCCCCTCTCTTCTCATTGGCTCACTGGCTGTGATTGACAGCAGTGGCCGCCAATGGCTCCAGCTTCTGTCTCACCCAGTGAGAAGAGGGAGTTCCAGGATAGCCAAGACCAGGGGCGGACTGACAACTCATGGGGCCCCCGGGCAATAGGGGATCATGGGGCCCCTGTATCCTTGCCCAAACTCAAAAAAGCCTATGAAAAAGGTACCAGGGGCATCTCATGGGGCCCCCTACTGACCCCGGGCCCTCGGGCAGTGCCCGAGTTTCCAAATGGTCAGTCTGCCCCTGGCCAAGACTGCTGTGCACATTGCTGAATCGAGAGGGGGCTTAGGTGAGCATGGGGGGGGGGGGAGGCTGGGGGAGGATGCTGCACAGAGAAGGTTTTTTTACTTTCATGCATAGAGCTGCACTTTGGCTACAGCGCAGTGTACTTGCGGTTTTCGTGCGGGTCAGCTGCACTTTCTCGTAGACTTTTGTCCCACGGTTTTGGCGGCGAAAGGGCACCAAAATTGCAGGACATAATAGAAGTGTATGGGAAAGTGCAGCTAACATGCAGGAAAACCGCGGGTACACTGTGTTGCAGCCAACATGCAGCATGGGCAGTGTGAAAGCTCCATAAACTGTTATTTATTGCTTATAGTTATTCTAGTAGGGCAGGGGTGGCCAACCTGCGGCTCTCCAGAGGTTAGCCACCCCTGTAGTAGGGTTCTATTTATTTTAATGGCCCACTGTACTCTAAGGGGTTTTTTGTCAACAGTTGTATGTAGTGTCCTATGGCGCATGCGCAAGATGAAGTGTGTGACGTATTTCATTTTGTCTCTTGCATGTATCAAGCAAAGTTTTAAAAATGGCAGGACAAGAATAGGTAAATAAGAAGAAAATGTCACAAACATATACAGTTAGGTCCATAAATATTGGGACATGGACACAATTCTAACATTTTTGGCTCTATACACCACCACAATGGATTTGAAATGAAACGAACAAGATGTGCTTTAACTGCAGACTGTCAGCTTTAATTTGAGGGTATTTACATCCAAATCAGGTGTATGGTGAAGGAATTACAACAGTTTGCAATAATTAGGGACCTGACTGTAGGTAAGTATGATTGTCTATTTCTGACTTATATATTATTGGCAGGTTTATACAGTGGAGGGGTCCTCTTGAAACCCCCCCCCCCCCCCCCCCGAAAATTTTTTGAGACCCTTCACCCCTATACAAATGTAAACAAATGTGTTGGTTTCTCCTACATACACTATATTGCCAAAAGTATTAGGACGCCTGCCTTTACACGCACATGAACTTTAATGGCATCCCAGTCTTAGTCCTTAGGGTTCAATATTGAGTTGGCCCCGCCCTTTGCAGCTATAACAGCTTCAACTCTTCTGGGAAGGCTGTCCACAAGGATTGGGAGTGTGTCTATGGGAATGTTTGAACATTCTTCCAGAAGTGCATTTGTGAGGTCAGGCACTGATGTCTGATGAGAAGGTCTGGCTCGCAGTCTCCGCTCTAATTCATCCCAAAGGTGTTGAGATCAGTCCAGTCAAGTCAAATGCAGGCCAGTCAAGTTCCTCCACCCCAAACTTGCTCATCCATGTCTTTATGGACCTTGCTTTGTGCACTGGTGCGCAGTCATGTTGGAAAAGAAAGGGGCCATCCCCAAACTGTTCCCACAAAAGTTGGGAGCAGGAAATTCTCCAAAATGTCTTGGTATGCTGACGCCTTAAGAGTTCCCTTCACTGGAACTAAGGGACCAAGTTCAACCCCTGTAAAACAACCCCTCACCATAATCCCCCCTCCACCAAACTTTACACTTGGCACAATGCACTCAGACAAGTACCGTTCTCCTGCAACTGACAAACCCAGACACTTCCATCAGATTGGCAGACAGAGAAGCATGATTCTTAACTCCAGAGAACACGTCTCCACTTCTCTAGAGTCCAGTGGCGGCGTGCTTTACACCACTGCATCTGATGCTTTGCATTGCACTTGGTAAAGTAAGGCTTGGATGCAGCTGCTCAGCCATGGAAACCCATTCCATGAAGCTCTCTACACACTGTTCTTGTGCTAAACTGAAGGCCACACAAAGTTTGGAGGTCTTTTATCTATTGACTCTGCAGACAGTTGGTGACTTCTCTGCACTGTGCGCTTCAGCATGCGCTGACCCCACTCTGTCATTTTACGTGGCCTACCACTTCAAATTGCTGTTGTTCCCAGTTGTTTCCATTTTGTTATAATACCACTAACAGCTGACCGTGGAATATTTAGTAGCAAGGAAATTTCACAGATGGACTTATTGCACAGGTGACAACCTATCACGTTACCACGCTTGAATTCACTGAGCTCCTGAGAGCGACCCATTCTTTCACAAATGTTTGTAGAAGCAGTCTGCATGCCTAGGTGCTTGATTTTATACACCTGTGACCACGGAGGTGATTGGAACACCTGAATCAAATTATTTGGAAGGGTTCCCCAATACATTTGGCAATATAGTGTACGTGTGATACACGTTACACATTGCTGTGCATGCTGAAGTAAGAGCAGTAATTCTAGGTCCTATAATAATAATTCTAATTTGATGACTTGTAGGGGCTTATAAAGCGTTGCGTATAGAAAATGTAGGATACTGAAAGTTGTTACCGTTTTTTCAGGTGCAGCAATACAAAACTTTAGAACAAGTACTAACTTGTGCTGCAAAATTGATACTTTTACCCCATACTGCCATTAGCTCTCTGTCAATTAAAAAAAAAAAATCAAAACTAAACTTTATGACAGACACTACACATAATGTTGCTACCGTTTAAAGTGGTAGTAAACTGCCAAAAAAAAAGGGGCCCCCTCTGGTTTATCCCATAATGTGCTCCACATACTAGCATATTATGTCACATTTACCTGCACACAGGGCCCTCCAGCACAGCACTGTCACGGATTCCCTGGTACTTCCTTCATCACCCGATTTTCCTTCCAGGTGCTGTTTGAGTGGTCAGGGCGACGATGACGTCACTCCTGCATATAAGTGCAGGAGATTCGGCTATGGCACAACACTCTGCATTCAATAGCATGCTGGGTGCTCTGAAAGCAGAGCGGCACTACACATGTGCAGGTGATGTCATTGGCTATTGACAATGTGAATACCTCCGAAACGGTGCATGTTCAGGAAATATTCATTGTACCTACTGGTAGGCCTGATTGTAAGCTTACCTGTAGGTACAAATGACTATAGGGAGACTTTACTACCACTTTAAAAGAAGTAAAACAATATTTACCACAACATAACTTTTACAGTAATTTGATCACATTTGGTGAATATATAGTTTCAGCTTGTACAGATCTGTACATCACTCCTACATGAAGAACAGCTATTATTGAGGACAGAGGGACTCGTACTTTTTCTGTACTACCAGGAAAGGATCAATAATCCCTCTACTGAGACTATATCTGCTGACTGCTGGATTATTGGAATCTCTGCTCTGCCAAGTTGAGGATTAAGGAAACGCTACTATGTAATGCTGGTCATACACAGAGGGACGTGTACACACAGTCCAATCAGTCCTGTTAAATTTCATTGTGTTCATAGTACTGGCTGTGCTCCAGTGGTGCTTCCTTATGTTTATGGCTGATTAAAGCTGAATTCCATGTAAACAGCTAAACCCACTATTAAAATAGAAACCAAATATCTGACCCGAGTGGCATAGCATGGTCAGCTGTGCTGAGAATTTAGCCTGCTGCTTTCCTCCAATGATCAGACACAGCCATTCACTAGGAAGACTAGTCTGTTGCTGTTTCTCCTCCCCCAGCTCTCTCAGCTCTTTATGCAGCTGAGAACAGTGGGAATGTGATCACTTATAAAAAGAAAAAAAAAAAAGTGTTTATAATGTTTTTAATATCTATACACAAATGTGTTGCCTTTCATTTCTATTTTAAACTGAATGGGGTGATGGTTTAGTATATATTTGAAAGCCTTATTGGCTCAAAGTGTTGGCATTCTATTTCACAGGCATGCAGATAGACTAATGCACTAGCTGTAGATAAACATATACCTAAAGGATGAGTTCACATTTTCTAACATTGTACATGTTACACCCGTATTCAGGGTGTACCATGTTAGCGCTGCAGCTGCCCCCCTGAGTCCCTGCTGTGACAGCAGACCAGGGATCTTCTCCCCGTGACTGCTGTCAAAATTCAAAAAAGATGCGGCTGTACGGGGCTCCGCCCACCTGGCCACATCATTTATTCACAGTATTTTGTGAATTAAAAATTACAAGTCCCGACAGCCTTTGCGGCTGTTGGCTTGTAGTTCTCAGTGAACTACGAAGGCAATGTTGAGTGCTGTAGTCAGGCCCGGAGGGCTAGGGCCACCAGGCTTAAGATGATTGGGCCACGCAGTGAGAGGTAAGCAACGACCTCATTCTAGACAGGGCTAATACAGACCATGGCTGCCGCTCAACTCCCGCTGTGCGGCTATGACTAAAGCAGGGCCGACAGAAGGGGTGGCAGTGACAGCTCAAGTGACAAGCAGGAAGCGCCACTGACGCAGGGACACCACCTCAGCCGGCCGCTGCACTGAAGGGACAACAGTGGCCTCTCCTTCACTGGCTGGCACACTGTTATAGCTCTGTAGTGACGGTGGATTGGACTGTCTCTTTGCTGGATGGGCTGTCACTTTGCTGGATGGGCTATATCTTTGCTGGATGGGCTGTCTCTTTGCTGGATGGGCAGTCTCTTTGCTGGATGGGCAGTCTCTTTTCTGGGCAGGATATCTCTTTGCTAGATGGGCTGTCTCTTTGCTGAACGAGCTGTCTCTTTGCTGAACGAGCTGTCTCTTTGCCGGACGAGCTGTCTCTTTGCTGGGTAGGATGTCTCTTTGCTGGACAAAGCTGTCTCTTTGCTGGATGGGCTGTCTCTTTGCTGGACTGCGATGTCTCTTTGTTGGACTGCGATGTCTTTTTTCTGGATGGGGATGTCTCTTTGCTGGATGGGGATGTCTCTTTGCTAGACTGGGCTGTGTCTTTGCCCAGTTGCGTCCAGCAAAGAGACATCCCAATCCAACAAAGAGACAGCCCAATCCAAGAAGGGACGTCCCCGTCCAGCAAAGAGACATCCCTGTCCAGCAAAGAGACATCCCATCTCTTTGTGGATTGGGATGTATTTTTGCTATTTGAGGCTGTCTCTTTGCTGGACTAGGCTGTCTTTTTGTTACTTTGGGGACGTTTCTTTGCTGGATAGGGATATCTCTTTGCTGGATTGGGTCATCTCTTTGAAGATATAGGGGGCACTCTGATTAGATCTCT